GGGGGGTAACCCTGTAATGGACTAGCATCCCATTCAGGGGAGAGTGAAAATATTCCTAGTTCTTTCATGCTTCAGAAACTGGAGTTGAGCGCCCACCTTATGGGCCACTTGGCTCGTAAACAGACTTTGATTTACCTTTTAAACTTGCGATGGACTGGCACTCCATCCTAGTCTTACTTGTTTCATGAGGATAAGATCTGGCTGGATGGGCCACTTGACTCAAGGGCAGACTGCCCTACAAACAATAAAATTCTTCTCCACTTCCTTATTCCCCTTTCAAACTGATTTAAATTTACTTCCATGAGCCTTTGCACCGTTCAAAATACAGTAACTCTTTGACTCCCAAGTGTTACCAAAACAGAAATTCTCAAACGAGACAAGTTTAAAGAAATAAAGGGGATTACTGGTTGATCCAATACCAAATTCTCATTACTAGAATTGTCAGGCAGACAGTAGGAAGAATTTGTAATGGGATCTCGGGAAAGGGTTAACTGGTTGTGCACAAGTCTCTGTTAACTTAGGATTTTTCGTTTACCTTAGAGTAACAGTAAAAGTAAAAGGTACAAGAAGGGCAATAAAAAAAAAATTTAGGACAAATCTTCTCACAACTTGAGTTTTGCCTCTTTAATCCTTGACCCCTACAATGACTACCATCTAATTTCTCCTTACAATATCACCCCTGAATCACACATTAAGGTCACAAGAAAAAAGGAAATGATCACCAACTAAAGAAGCTCTTAATTGTTCAACTAATCCTCTTTGTCAACAACTTAGGAAATGTATAGAGAAGAGTATGGAGAATATGCATATTGACGTTAGGATGGAAAGGGTTAAAATAACTGCATCTTGCACTACTGTTATTTATTTGAGCTAACATGTTAGCTTACCAGATAAAAGTTTTTGTATCATATCTTGGAAACCATTCTTTTTATCATTTACAAAAGTTTGTTCTTATCATAAATTGTTAAAGAAGGATTGCTGAAAAGATGGACCTCCAGAAAAATCCAAAGTGATTGCTGGTGACTGCCTCGGGATGAAGAAATGGTTGCCATGGTTACTTTTTACAGAATTGGCTTTGACAAAACTTGATTTGAGGGGTGGAGGCTTGGTTGTTGCTCTTTCTCTCTGACTATGTCCTGCTCTGAATGCTAGAAATCATCATTTAAAAATTTACTATTAATAATAACAAAAATCTGTGAAAAGTTGTTGACATTTAAGTCTTGTAAACCTGGTTCATGTAAACTAATGGTCACTTTTGCCAGCATGTTACTGGTGGCCATTAAACTTAACTAGTGTTAGTTGGTCATAACTGGTCTGTTCCAATCTCTCTGTAAGTAAAGGTATTCTGTTTGCTTTGTTGGTGGTGTTAATGTCATCAATAATTCATTTGTATGGTGCTGGCAGCGTTTTGAACACTTTCACTCCGATGAAACGTCCGTTCTAAAACTCTTTACAGTGGCCAATCTACATTAACTCAGATACAATGTATATAATTATGAAGTTCATATATTTTGAACTGCGGTATTAGATACGTATGATGCACGATCCTCGCAGTAGAGAGCGCTATCTATGCAATAGCGAAAATCAGACCTGAAAAAAATCAGGCCTGTACGGGATTCGAACCACTGACCTCTGCGATACTAGTGCAGCGCTCTACCAATTGAGCTAACAAGCCAACTGGGAACAGGCCGTTCAGTTGATTCGTAATAAACGCGTGATGATAAATCAGATACAATGTATATATGAAGTTCATATATTTTGAACTGCAGTATTAGATACGTATGATGCACTCAGTTGATAAAACCAAAATTACCTTGTTACTCCAGCACCATAGTTTCTTTTAAACTTACCCCCTCTATTCAGATTTTCATCACAGTTTTGAGAAATAAAATCTTGATGCTACATACCTCCTCCTCTCCCCCTGGCCTGTTCTAGGCCTTGTCCTTTGCCTCTTGACCAACCAGTGATCATTCCATTCATCTGCTTCTTTTGCTTTTTGTTCATATGTTTTGGACTCTTCATGTGTTGAATCATCTGTGTTTGTGAATTAAAGGTTGTACCACAATCCACACAGAGCAAATCAAGTTGAGGATGGTTTTTGAGTTGATTGTCTGAAATTTAAAATACAGTATAACAAGAAATGTGACCGACTGGAAGGTTAACGATGCGAAGACACACAGGAATATACTTCTACTGTACTAATGATAAAGATTACAATTTTCTTGATTGTGATTGGTTAAAAAAAATCCTATTTTCTACTAATTCACTTGCTAAGTTTTTATTGGACAGTTTGTTACCACACAAGTCAATAAGCCAATCACATTCAAAGTTGTAGTTTAGTATCTTTTATAACTTGACTATCATTCTTTTCTCAGAAAAAGTAATTTTTATAATTAACTGCTGAGTCATCAAATTCGGTCTGTTATCATACTCGTGATTTGTATTTGTTTGAGGGAAAAAAACAGTTGAAAATTTCACTACATACTAGCAATATTATTCTTGTGCTTAGATCCTAGGAGATGAGTTTCCATTTGCAACATGGAGTTCATCATTAAACCACAAATCTCACAGCATAATTCCGTGGTTTTAGTATTCGCTGGTGATGGAGTTCTCTCTACATTTTTAGGATCCCCATTGGCATGAGTTGTTCCACCTGTACAAAGTTCTTGCTGTGTCAGCGATCCATTCCCTCCTGATGCTGAAGCAATCCCTGTTTTACTGTCTCTAAAACTCTTTAGTTTTTGATTGTGTTTTGGACTTTGAAAATGCTGTGTAGCTTGTGATTCAGAGTTAAATAATTTTTGACAGATCACACATTGTAGATTTACATTTCCAGCTTGTTTCACCAGAGGAAGATTTTGATTCACTTGAAGGTTACATGTAGTAGTGTCCTTAGAGCCATATGTGGTAGAATTCTGCCAAACCTGGAACAAACAGATTTACATTTTACACTCTCCCATTTGCTTGAAACTGTATCGATAAAATACTAAGAAATTTCCATTTGGTCTCTCCAGAGATTGATAGGGTTAGGGTGTAAAAAATTCATTTGCAGCTTAAATTTGGCATTAAATTCTTTCTTTTAAATATTTAATGTAAGCAATTAAATTACTATAAATTTTTAATTAACTAATAACAAAAAAACCTTGCCTTCAAAATTCTTTATCATGTCATCTCTGAAAGGTGTACCCAGTAATAATTGCTATTTATCAGAACATACTGGCATAATTTGATGATTCCACCATATGAGATATGAAATGAAATTATTGAAAAACAACCATGATTCCTATTGGTTATTCCATGAAAATAAAGCATGTTTTTTTGTACGTTTGTGGCAGAAATTAATTGAAAAGATTTATAGACAATAGCAACAGAAAACCTCAAACATTTCTATCTCACAGGAAGTTGTTGAGACAAAAAGATCCGACACAGAGAGTTGTATCTCGTCTGCTAATTATGACTCATTAAGAGGTGTTTATTAAACTAAATATCATCATTTTTTCATGAAATATTCATTAGAAAGGACAGCTTAAAAAACAGTTGATCATTGTAGTCTAGCTGGGAGATATTCCCTGGATTTAATTAGATTATCTTGGTAAGGATTGGGAATTACGATTTCGAATTTCATTTCGCTTTATTTTAGCTACCGTAAATACTAAATGCTGGAACAAAAAAATATTTTCAAAAAATGAAAATAGTTGAATCACGTTCGCAAGGTATCCTAGTTATTCTTATTTCCTTGTTTTATTCCATGTAAAAATTAGGCTTATAGAAGCTGCGCCAGACCGCAAATTAACCCAAAAAACTAGTGGCAGTTAAATTAAAAACGAGAAACAACAGCAATTGCCAATTACAAAAATAAATGACGAAACATAAATGAGGAAAACAGCACAAAATTTGATATGAAAATGATTTTACTTGTCCGAAAACTGTGTCAGTCACTGAAAGACTGGAAAATATGACAAACCTGTCAATTTAAACTTAAGTATAAAAACTTTTTTAAAACATATATAAATAAAGCTTTAATTTCGTCACCACTGAAACATACCGTTTTAAAATACCTGAACATACCGTTTTAAAATACCTGAACATACCGTTTTAAATTCCTCGGCCTTCTTAACCTTATTGAGATGAGCTTTCCCCTCTCTGTGCTGTAAAGTTTGACTGATCGAATTGAGCTTTACGTTGCAGATTTCGCAAAATAGCTGTCCTCCTTGGGCATGCTGTTCAAGCCATGCTGTTTGCTTGCAGGGTATTTTGTCTGTGTCTTGATCCTCATTCACCTTCCGTTTGGCTCCAGCAAGAGGACTGTTAAGCTGCCTAAATGAAGAGTGCTGTTGAGGTGTGAGAGATGTATCAGTCGATCGATTAGAATTACAGCTCACAAAAGAGTTAAAGTGCAGCATTTCAAAGTCTCCTATTCTGACATTTGAAGTTCAGGTGAGTACAGCGGGCGCGTGCGGCTATCATCTTACTTACTTGTATGTCGTGTATTAGTCACCAAACAATGAAACTGCAGCTATCATTCGTTAACTCAAATAATTTTGTTCTAATCAGTGCGTTTTGATGCAATCGTTTTGCCGCGGTAGTGGTGGATCCAGGGAGTTTAGAAGTAAGTGTCCGAAATATCATTGTTTTGAGGGGGGAGAGGGAGCGGGGTTGGAGAGGGAGATATCCAGCGTGGATATCTAACAAGTCACCAGCTATCAAGCCGGATTAGAAGCCGCCCCAGACTTCAAACTGTGCGTGCCGTATCTGGAAACATCACTAACAAATGGCTTAATATATAATATGCCTCTTAAATTCCTCCCTTAAAGTGGAAACGGAAACATCTAAACTAGAATGAAAATACTCCTTAGACCTGGCTTTGACAATTCTGCGAACTAATGGGAACGCAGAGGAAGACTGTGGTAAAAGCTTAATCAACCGCTCAGTAACAGCTACATGACAAGTAACCTTGCCGGTTTTAGCGAGAAAAGCAGTATGGTCAAAATGATACTGGTCGTTTTTGCGCTGAAATAAATAAACAGACATATCACTAAGTATAGAGACATCACGAAGTGCTATATTCCTGATCTCAGCAGTGCGAAAAAAGCCGGCAAAACCAATCAAAAGAATAAATGAATAACGAAGATCGGAATGCGAAGTGCTTGAGGCAAAATGGGCAGCTATCGCCTGTACGGTACTAATCGACAGCGGCTCCTTAGGCTGAACAGGTCGGGCGAGCCTTCTTTTGGCGCCTTCTAAAGCAAACTTTACTAAAGGATGGCTAACAGGGCAAGCAAGCCTCAATACCGGCCATTGCGTGGCCCCACTTAATAGCATAAATAGCAGATTCTATAGGAGATACACCGAAGCTATTCTCGGAAGAACGTTTAGCTAGCTCAGAAATAAACAATGCGATATGCAGAGCTTTTGCCGGAACTACGGGAACACCCAACTTGGACAGAGTCCACCGGCGCCACCGTAACCAGCCAGATTTGTATTTTAGCACTGTGGACGGAGCCTTGACATCTAATTGCAGATCAATAAGGCCTGGAACCATCTCACTCAGAGAAGAATCGGACAACGAGGCTGCTTCAAGCCAAATCCCGGAACTCAGCACATCTGAAAGAAAAGAAAATATCGTGCAAAATCAAACGATTTCTTTGATAAATACCGAAGTAGGCACAAACACGCGCAACGAGATCACCTTAACTCAAAGCACGTCAACAGTGCTCAAAATATGCCAGTCCAGGTTCAAAATATGCCAATTCAGGCTAAAATATGCCAAATCAGGCTTAAACCACTATCAAAAACTCACCCGAAATCCACACGCAAAGCCAACATTCTAAATTTTGTGCAACCGTGAAAAACGGACGGGCGAGACTTGATAGACCTGCCTCTAACCTGGGCCCTCCAAAATAAGGTCCTTAATGGCGGAAAACACTAAAACGTCCCTGATGAATGACTTAAATCGAGAAGGTCCGTCACGTAAAAGAGGCCAAAAATAGGCCGATGGCCATTTAGGAATAATCAAGGTCCCGTAACCGGAACAGGCCAAGAGCAATATAACGGCGTCCACAACGAGACACACCGGGGGGAAAACCCAGTTGTTCTCCCCACTCCAATCCTGTGCCAGAGCATCGACAGTGGAACAACCAGGAGCAGCAAACTTGGAGTTAAAACGCGGAAGCTGAGCGTTATAAAAGGAAGCGAAACGGTCAGTCGTGTGGGGACCCCATTTGGCATCTACAAGTCGAAACACTTAGGCATTAGTACGCCAATCATCCTTATCGACGAACTGGCCTAGGATGTCAGCTCTCTCGTTGAGTGACCTTGGAATCTACTGCGCTTCCAAGGCAATACCGTGCGAAAAACAAAAACGAAAAATGCTCAGAGCCACCGACTGAAGATGGACCTTACAGCTTCCAACGGAAACTACCCTGGCGGCATTCTTATTGTTGGTAAAAATCTTAACCCATCTGTGCTTGAGGTGCTCAACAAACGAAATCAAGACATAATAAATAGCTTTCAGCTCGCGAAAAGTAGAACTTTGACCCAAATCGTCGATAGTGAACATACCGCTGGCCACAGTGCCGTCCAGGGAGGCGGAAAAGCCTCCGAAAACTGCGTCGCTCGCGTTGGAAAATACAACGGTGGATGAATCAAGAGAGGGCCGATTGGAGTAACCATTAAAAGATTCAATGTTACAAAACCAAAACTTCAATTCCTCTAGTAGAGCAGGTGGAAAGAGAAAAACGTTATCCCAAGCTGACCTAGACTCTATAGCTAAGTACATCTGCCTTGTCAGAGGACGGGAAATAGGACCGACAGCCAATTAATGCCGCTGAAATAATGGAACCGGCAATCCTGGCTAATTCGCCATAGGACGATGACCTGCTCTGGATGACGGAATCCAAAAGCCGCTTAAGCTTGCAAACCTTCTTTTCGGGAATCCGAAACGTCATAGAAATGGTGTTGATCACAAAACCGAGCCACTCGCCAACCTGCGTCGGGACCCAGTGGGACTTCTCCTCGTTAAATGAGGAGACCGGAAGAGACAAGATCCTTCCGCGGAATAAAAGCTGCTGCGAAGGCAGACAACTTCTTCGGCTGAGTACAAAAACCGTCGTCAAGGTAAACAAAAGAGTTATGACCCTTAGCTATAGATCGCCAGCGCTTAACCAACGGGCGCAGCAATTTGGTGAAACAAAAACAGGCGCTACTGAGACCGAAGGGTAAAACAACGAAAGTGAAATACCTAAGTACGCCGTTAAAGCGCCAGGAAAAACCTAGGTACTTTTGGTGGTCTGGAGAAATATTAACATGGTCGTATCCAGATTTGAGATCCCAGGTAAACAACCTGTGCCCTTCATGAAGAACCTGTGACAGAGAGTTAAGGTTCTCGTACTTAAACTTAAAACGAACGAGTTGGCAATTAATAACATGCCTAAGATCAATTACTAAGCGAAGCTTCTTGCCATACGCCACTGTCAAAGGGTTAACGCAAAAAGGTGGCTCTGGATGCTCCGTAATACAGCCATTGTCCAAAAGCTCTGAAATTGCATGAACAGCAAAGTCAGGATGCCTAAGAGCTGACAAATTATTACGTAAAAAACACGGGACTGGATAACTGGCTAAAGGAATCCGATAGCCGTGCGAAATGGTATCGAGAACAAACTGAGGAGAATCTAAGGTGGACTTCAAACGGCCCTTAACTCCTGCACACTCATTGCCGGCACAAAATTCCTCTGAAAAACCAATGGAGGGCAAATCACACTGAACGAGAGAATGCGAGTCTTCCCCCTCATCCAGTCATTCGCGGCGAGGGTTGGCCGTTGAAGACTCGGACGGCTTGGAACGAAAAGCACTCAAGTGGCCGAATTCCCCGCACTATAAAAATAAAAAGCAAAAAATATGTCAAACGACCTGATTAGCTAAAACGAGCGACACATAAGATAAAACGAAACTGTGGGTTGTAGGCGTTCACAGACCCGAAGGATGAATACGAATGAACGAGACACTTATATAACCGCATGCAAACTACTTGACACCACTAAAATACCGTAGGACAAACAGACACTATGACACACCTAATTAACCGTGTAAGAACGTGCAGAAAACAAATATCTACTAAACTGCGTAGCGCAGATATTTTTGCATTTCTCTTCTTAAGCTCAAGCAGGATGGGCCTTTGACTCAAGTGCAGACTTGCTCTTTCCCCTCCCACCCTAAGTCCTTCGCCTATTAAGGTAAATCGACAAATCATAAAAACATAGGATCTTCAACGTATTTTATTTCCCATCAACCAAATGTTACATAGAATCTCATTATTCCATGGCACCCATAGAGGCCAACATAGAGACAGAATTACGCTTGCTCTTCAAAGCTTTATGATTCGGTACAACTCTTTAAGTTTACTTAATAAAAATACCCAGTATTTACTCTATTATGCTATGTTAGGTATTAGAAAGAACATTCTATGTTCAATTAGGCCTACTTAGCAAAACTGTTAGCAAGTGCTCAAAGGAGGTGCCAAGGGTGAACCAAGGGCCTGGGTCGGGCCGTTGCGCTGCAAGTCATTTCTTAACAAAGTCTCCTCTATGTTTTCCACACTAAGTTACACAGCGTATCTTGGTAACAATTCAAAATTGAAATTGACGATTGAAGGCCTACAATTTCGCGTATTTCAGCAAAACGAAAAACCTCCCCACATGCAATCGCATCCAATAGTACAAGGATCGAGTTTCAAGCCGGAAAGTACATGTATGACTAAAATCTATCCTTAGTGTCCACTTGTTCGGAGGGCGATTAGCGCTGACCCAGGGTTAATTTTAATCCAGGTTTCTATATTTCTCTGTTCAACAGCCGTTTTGGGATAATTTCCGTAATTCTTTTTAGAACATTCAATCATCAAATTGTAGACACATGGAATTAAATTGAATTTTCTTTTAAAGCTTTCAGATCTGAAATCAAATTTCACACTAACCCTGAGATATCTTAATCTACCTTTGAACAACTCGACCCAGGACATTGTTTTAACGGTCATCCCTTATCCGTTTTCCTGGAGGATAATGCAACATCATGTGATGTCCACGTGAGAAACATTCGCAGCACAAGATTGGTTATTTCTTAGTCATTATCGCAGTCGTCCTATGGGATGTCGCACAACACAGTGCAATTTTTGGGAGAGCGTGACATCAAAGAGCTGTGAAGAAGACAAGTTATTTCTAGATTCTCTTTGGTTCTCCAAAAAACTAGTATGGATTCTATGCCAAGACAGATTTCCTTAAGAATGGTTGCGTACACACAATCAGTCTTCTTGGCTTGATTCTCTCTTACCGACAATCTAAGAGCCTATGAACATGCTCTTTAAAAAAATGATTGCATTAACACGGCATTAAGTGTTAAGGTTGGTTTTTTATGTTAAAAAAAACTTGTATCATTGTTCAATTTTTGAGTTATTTTATCATTAGATAAGGCAAAACTGAACGAAACAGAACATAAACAGCACCAACTCTCTGAGTCGGCTATATCGTGTTTTGAACAACGCAGACCTCTTTTCAAGAAAGTCTGGTCGTGAAACAAGCTGTGAGAAAACTAGAGGCATCATGGGAACTGAAATGGATTCACACTAGCATGGTATGAATCCGCACTTCCTCCTGGAGTACTAAGATTTGGTGAGCTTAGATAAGCTGGTGAACTTGCTTCACTCATCATTTCATGTACCAACTGTGGAATACAGAAAAAAAAATTGATAAGCAACTGCATGTCGATAGTACTCCGGAATTACTTTAGTTTTGCTTTTCAGCGCATTATGCTGGCGGATTTTGTGCGCGCCTTGGTGCTTTGACAAGCAAAGCGGCGTAAATTTTAAGCGAAGCCGTGAGAGGCTTGGGACGGAAAGCTCCGCTAGTCGTTTTAGCAGTCACTTGGAAGAAAGTGAACTATGACAAGAAGCCAAGAAGAACACAATGTAAAAACAAGAAAACTGCCTCATGCGCGGGAAAACGTGGGTTAGAAAGTCACACGGGACTTCAGTTGTACATCTGATTGGTTTAGACGTTGACATGAGATTTCCCAGGTCACTTTTGACAATCAATTCTTCTGAATGGCCGTAAAGATAAACGTCCTTAAAAAAGGCCAATATATTTATGGATATTAAACAAACAAAACAGTACAGAACCAAGCCTTTCTTACGTTGACTATTTCGTCGTCACTCAATCCTGTGCTTGCTCTTTTATCTATAATAAAAACGTTAAAAAGAAGGAAAAAATTTTTAGTGCTCTCTCCCAAACTCATCCCCAGCAACCCATGTAAAACTCACAAATTTTTACTCATCAACATTGCTCAGCGGGAGTTAGGGGAAGACGAGAGAGGACCTGGTAACGGAGTTTTCAATGCGCGTGCGCACCTGAGTTTGAAACGCGCGATGAAAACGCGAGGAAAAAAGGAATTTAGGGTTCATTCCCAACGCGTGTTTACGCATGTGCGCTATGGCATTTTTGCGAACTGAAAACTGCCACTCGAGACATCAAATAAGAAAGTAGTCATTGGGTGTTTTTTGTTGTTGTTTCTTGTCCAGTTTCGACATTAAGCTTGAATTTGAGCTCGCCAGGTTGGCTTAGATGGAGGCAGTTTCGCTTGGTTGCCAAGGGGAATGAAAACCACGACCTTTCGGGTTTTAATTCAGTTTCTACACAGAAGTGTTGAAAGGGAATTTCCCAGTCCAGTTATCATGAAATCCAATTGTTTACTTAGGCAGGTGTCTGCACACGAACCCAATCAAACAGGTTTGCTAAGCTTTTGAGATCTCGGCCCACCACTCTTCTCGTCATGAAAATCTCCTTGTTTCCATATAAAGGGGCGGGCTGGCCGAGATATTGGTAGCCCAGACTGCAAATTTTTCTATTTCAACTTCTCAGCCCAATCGAGGGGTCGAAATTGGACTGTCATGCTTCGTCAATCTCGGTAACGGAGCTTAAATGTCTTGAAACCTAAGTTCGACAACCAATAGGACCATTAGAATAACTGTCTTACTATAAACCGTACGAAAACGTTCGAAGAGTGCTGAGGCGAGATCTCAAAAAATGAGCCATAAACGTTGACTGCGCTTATAGAAAGAGCCCCCAAATATTTCCAAGTATGATTACCTCGACACGACCACGTGTCACAAGCTTCCAGCGGGGCTGAGTAAGGAGAGGGCTGAAAAATAGAAGTTAGATTTGCGCAATCAATTATGTTAAAAGGAAGCGAAATGGAAAGAATTACTGTTGTTTATTTTGGCTCCCTATGAAGTATACAGTTTTTTTTTTTTTTTAAGGCGATCTTTAGAATAGATTCTTTCATACGGATGTTGTAGTCATTCAGAAACCGCTGGATATCGAAGGGAAGGTTTTTTTACTAATCGTTTCACCTTGGCCGCCAAATAATAGCTGCTTTCCGGGAAATTAGATATTACTAAGGGAGATAAAAATCATTTAGTCGTGCTAAAACCACCGATATTAAAGAAAGGAAGTGCATCTCCCAAAAGAAGTGAAACCCATTTCCCGGAAGTCTAACTTTCAAGGAAAGTTCCGGTTCCGCTTCCATCCATATATTAGCCAACGTCACGCAAAGGTTTAAAAAAGAAACAGTTTATTGTCAAATGCATGCATTGTTTAATCTTCGTAATTGTATATTTCCATAATGATTCGGCGCGGTATCTTTTAATTGATTTTTCCGAGAAACGTTACTTAATGTTCTTTTGACATTGAACATTTGGGGAAGTTTTCTTTGGGTTGATGCACAACTGGGTAAATTGAAGCATTTTTTTATGGCATTTAGATAACATTAGGACAGAGCTGTCAAAGGTGAGTCAAAGTATAAACCTAGAAACTTCTGTAATGAGCAGCCATGCGTAATTAAACAGCGAGTATCGTTTCGCAGGCCGTTTGTGTTAGTTTAGCTGATGATGTGAATTTTAGAAACTTGTTATGTTCATTGAAATGTTGTCTCTGAATCGATGAAAGTGAAAGTAATTGTGAAATGATTTAAGCGGTCGTCGAATATTGAATTCTAATTTTTTCAAAGTAATCGGAAAGTGGAGTTGTGGAAAAATTTAATCAGTTGCGTATTAGAACGCTCTGGCTATTAACACTTCATAACTTGTGTTAGTATTAAACTTATAGGAAGATTGTGATTTCGTCCTTTGTTCACAAAATTATCACATGAGATAGTTTGAGGAAACGAGCTCAAAGAAAGATTCTGGAAGCCGCAAAACAGTTGAGACCGCTTATATTTTTGATCGCTCAAACGACATCATTACCAATAAAATTTTGAGAGTGATTTTGTAGTAGGGGTTGACTTCAAACTATGATTCGCAAGTCAAGCTTTCCCTTCTCCAGTAAATCTCTCGAGGGAAGGAAAAACTTTTTTTCGTAAATCGGTCTTCATTAAGTAAATCGAAGACAAAAAGAACGCTGATCTCATTGTAATGTCGAGGCAGCAGACACCTTCGATTCCGAGAATTTGGCTGACAGAAAAATACCCTTCCTGCTTTCAAAAGGGATATCACTTGAGATTGCCGACCTCAATATCTTTCCGGAATTTCTGGAAAACGTCCCTGGATTTTGAGATAATTTTCTTGAATATCTTAAAAACCACCTCTATCAACCCCATATCATTTCAAATATTTTTATTTCCTCTTTGATTTTTTCAACTCAAAAGATTCCCGGATATTCACACAGAATCATGCTCAGAAAATCTGAAAAATTAGCATAAACTTCGTCATTATGCATAGAATCGCACAATTCGAGAGATATCGTACGCCCAGAGCCAAATTTGACCGCGTGTACTCCGCGTACATCGAGTCCACAACTAGCGTGTGCAGTTAAAATCGATATCGCTTGCGTGGTTGCAGCTGCCTCAGACTCTACTACAGCAGCCACGCGCAGCGTTACGATTCTGGTTTTCGCAATGAGCGCTTCAGAGAAAAACTTTGTTGCAAGCACTATCTGGTGAAAGGCATCGAGAGAAAATTAAGGGAGAGATAAAGAGATAAAGAGAGATAAAGAACGATTTAGAACTACCGGAAAGAAAAAGCTGTTATGGGCGGCGTACGAATTATGAAGGTAAACCGGAGCGGAAAAAAGTATAATGCAGGGTGATTTTTTTTATCAGATTTACATGTTTATAAAACAAAGCATGTTTTTCACTCCAACCACTTGGAAGCTGAGTGATAAAATCTGGCTGAGAGGCAAACAGATATCACTTAATCAGTGCAGAGAAAACATGAAAGTTACTGACCTGGTAAAACACGCCCAAAGTCTGAAAACCTGTCTCTCTAAAAGATGGTCTTGAAGGCTGAAATACTGGTTCGCTTCTTCTTATTTCTGCTGTCTGACTGGTAGATAATGAAGGCGGATTCTCTGTGAAAAGAACAGAGAAATACAATAATACAGTAAAACTATTCATGACAAGTTTCTTCGGGCGACAAAGAGGTTTTGTTTTGGTAATTTGTTGTTTACTTCCTCAATCACGAGCTTTGAAATTCAACTAAAAATTTCTATCTTTTGTCGAATTCTATCTTTTCAACTTCGTGGCTTCAGTTCCAGTGCTCTGTCTAAGTTCCTTAAACTAATCGTCTGAACCGTGCTGAAATTGCCAAAGGTTGCATGATCTATTTAGCGCTACATCCTTTCAATCGTGTCTCGTCTGAAAGGTGAAAGTCCCTTTCTGATCAAAATTTCAATCATACCATGTAAAATATTTATCTCTCTAAAGAGTCAGAGTCAGCAAATTCTTCAGCGTTCACGAAAAAAATCTGGGCGATACTATTTCAAAAGCACGAATTGTGCATGAAAACAACAAGTGAACTTTCACAAGAACTCGGAAACTCAGTCACTGGTGATTACGGTCAGTGAAACAAATCGCATGAGGCCTTCCTAACAACAACATAATAATAATATTTTTTGAATTATAAATAAAAATCAGTTTGCTATTCACTTAAGCGACAAGACAACATTAAATTACAGGTTGCTGAAGCTAAGTTTGACGAAACACGTGTTTGAAGATAAAAAACAGGTCATTTTCAAGTGTACCTGTCTGCTTGCCTATCGAAAAAATCGCAGATCATCGTTTGTGCATTTCGCCGCTGTCAACTTCCCGAAATAGCACTGGTCGGGGCCATGTGCGTCTACTTGCTGCGAAACTTGTTTTTGCACTTTTTGTCCACATTTACAAGTAGGTATTTAAGTGTATGCAATTGTAAATAAAACAAAACGATTAGATGATCATCTGCTGGCCGAACCACTGATTTTCAAGCCTTTCGAATATGAACTGTGAAACACTGTCGGAGTTTGTAAAGAAATCTGTATATAGTCGAGAAATCCGATTACTTTTTTCACAAAAGACGGAAAAGCTGTTTATAGAAATGATTCCTTCGCGATGATTCTTCTACGAAAGTGAAAGCACTGGATCTCTCCCGATGTAAGTTTAGTCTTCTATCCCTTCACAGTTTATTTTGTTTTCCAGCGGTATCAACTTCTAGTTCACAACTATTCGTGTTCTTTAATGTAGAATAAACAAGCCTCACCGAATTAGCTGAATTGTTGTTGTACGACACCGTTGCATCAGATAAAGAAATCCGCTAACGTTCGAAACTCTGACTTAAATTTCATCACTCAATTACTTCGAGTTGTAGCACAGTAGAAAGACTAAAGAAATTCCACAATCTGTAACTTGCGATAGGAGTATGTACCTTAAGTAAATATTTCCCAGTATTTCCGCACTTGTAAAAGATTATTTCTCCTTGATGAAGAAGGCATTTTTTTAGTTCAAGCGCAAAGCTTTGAGCTGTAGGAAAACCTGGTCATTGATGCCCGGCCGACAATCAATTACGGGTGGTTTACTGTCTAAAGGAATCTATTCTCTCACATTCTGTATGAATGCCTACCTGTTTGTTGGGGAAACATGGTTTAAAACGACGAGTGAATGTTTTTTTAAAAGCCATCATAACTAAAGTAACCGCCACTACATATTGTTGGTTCAACTGACTACAAGAATTGCTTCAATTTAGCAAATCAACCTACAGCTTACAAAAACGTACAGAAAAATTTTTTCTAATTGACAGCAAGTTAACACGATAATTGTTTGTAAAAACATTGCTCAGGATTAAAAATGTTTAAGGTCAAGTTAGTCATGATGTTTGTTGCCCAGCACAGTTTCCTTTACTAGAGGATCAAGGAAATTGCCAATATCAGGTGCTCACCCATGAGTTAGTACAGCGTGCTCTTATTTCGTGCGTTATCAAAAGCAACTTTCCTGATTTTTTCCTGATCCCTGAAGTAGAATCACGAATGATCGCTGAACGCTCTGACTGGAAGAGAAGTTTTCGCTGAGAATTTTTTTTAACCATGAGGTGTCTACTTCAATTTTACTAATTAAGTTGCAACATTTTAACTTTACTTTTGTGATTGCATGGCGATTGTCTGCGATAGAAAGTTTACGGTATCACAAAATATTCCATAGTTCCGTTGCCTCTAATTACCGACACCTGAGGAATTATTGTCTCAATATTCATTACGATCAACTCAGAGCTTTCTTTACAAATATCTCACAAATTCCTGGAATTGATGTTAGCCTGAATGTAAGGAGAGCTTACCTCTTCCTCGTAACGGCCTCATCCGGTAAATTTTAAAAGCATCTCTCCCACGCGGACAGCTCTTGGTGCGTATTTCTTTGATATCAGGCAGTGCGTTTAAGGCGCACCTAAAATTTGTCTTCCACTTTCGAGGGTCAGCTTTATCCCTGCCTTCCTTATACTTTCCTGTGTATGTTGCCCATGCTTGGAACAGAGCAGCATCTTCCACACTCCATCCATGCCGGCTGCCGTGTTTCCAGGGTACTCTGAACATTCTGTCCTTTGGGTCTCCTTCCCATCTTAAACCAAATCGACCTTCATTGATATTCATTACAAGCCAGTCGCGGAGACGGAGCTTCTTTCGATGGTGCATTGTAGTCTAACAGAAGAGGCAAATTACGAAATCTCTGAAAGCACGAAAACTCAGATAAGAAATAAATCGCGTCAGTTATTACCTCTATAAGTCAGACGCTTGGGGCTCCGCAAACTTTCTTGGAGCCACTTCGCTCCATGTTGAACTACTTCAACGAAAGATCTTCAGCAGCACGGCGAGCGCCAACATCACACAGTCACATTTGCAAACCCTATCGCGGTATATAACAATTTGATAGTGAAATTCTGCGGGGGCGCTTCAGTGACAAAGGTGTGACCCCAAACACAAATTTTCTTAGAACGGAAATCGTTTGCAGAATGAAGCAATCGCGCGAAAAAAAATTATCTTTAATGTACTTACCCTTCTCCCCGAATTGCACGTGCCAAGGGTGACAACTCTCAGTTGTAATGGAGCTGGGTACGGTACAACCAGGGAAATTATTGTGAGTCTTTTAAACTTTTATTGACCAATCAGGTCGAGGCTTGCTGGCACAGAGCCCTACTATATTATCCTCGACAGCTGTCGTCATTATTTTCGTATCAAAAGTGTTATTTAACGGCGATGATGCAGCTTGATAAGTCTAGTTTCGATCCTACGCATTGAAAAAAACCTTGCAGCTTTTGGCCAATATCTAGAAGAACCATGTAATTGCGCTGCACGAGTTGGCAAACGATGCCAACACGCATTTCAAACGTTACGGGGTTGATAAAATGCCCTATCCAAGATTTCTTTGTTTCAATCAATTGGTTAACTTTTAAAACTTTCTCCCTTATATAGGAAGGTAGGCAAATATATATTTAAAGGGACCAGTTTGGATGTGCCATTTTGCAATTCCAGAGAAAGAATTAGCTTCTTGACCGTACACTGAACTAGAACGCTTTTGTCTAACTCCTGTGGCATAAACTACAGAAAACTTTATTTTTCCAAAGAGAGACGGCGGGGGAATTTTCCATGTACAGTCATTTAATCAAGAATGTATTTTCAACTTCTCCAGCTCTCATGCGAAGATCACATGTTCGTAAACAGGAAATGCACAGTGACTGTCTGCTGGAGTTTCGTATGGTGCTATGCTCCTCTTTTAACTTGTCACAGTACAAAAATAGTGAAGTTTCTACATCCAAACAGTAAAGCTTTCGATTCGTCATGGAAAGAGTTTTGATTGCTTTATCAGGGAACACACCTCAATTAATTAAACTGGGATATTCCCCCAAGGAAAAATTTGCATTTTTACTAAATACAGGCTGAATGGTCCATATGCGTGAAGTTTTTCAGTTTCACCAATAGAGGTTTCAGTAATTGCACGTGTTTTGGCGGCTAGATCTTTAAAAACTAAAACAATTTCAAGGTTTTTCAGTTTCTGTATTATACGTTTTCCGGTTTAAAATTTATGTGTTCACAAAACACTTTTAGCGAAGCTTTATTTGTAGCACCAGCCATCAGCTATGGCTTTTGTCAAACTTTTGGGACCAAAGTGCTCTTAAGAAAGATGAACAATAGGCTTTTAAAACAAAAAAATCAATTTTGTTTTAACTAGACTTCCTCTAGAAACAATCTTAATATCTGAGACTTGTTAAACACGCGGTCAAAATCCATTTGAAATCGGTGGAGTCAAAAAGCATCGGAAAAAAAAAAAACTCGTAGTTATTAATGGCTACGTTTGTTAAATGAAGTCACGTTAAACCGCAACACCCATTAACAATAGAACTGGTTACAATTGCTTATCAAAAGCACTAGTTTTATAGAACGTGATGAGAAAGGTAAGACATTTCTTCAACGTGTTTGAGCTTTAGATAATAACACGCACAAGATATTGATTATATCTTTTCTACTCATTGTGGTGTACTAAATCACGGTGTATTATAAGAAAAAAACACGCCCCACTTATTCCAGCATTTTAATGTTCAGGAAGTTCATTGTGTATTACCTTCTCAGAGCAATATTTATAACCCAGTTTAAAGGGTTCTCCCAAATAAACACATCAACAATATTGCAAGCGATTAATGTCGGAGACGTGCTGTACAAACAAAGAAGCTTCCGTTGTCGTGCTGAAGCAAACCCGCGCTGGTAAAAAATCACACAAGATTTATTTGTATGGATGAAAGGTCCCCATGAGTGTGTTAATCGATACTTTTTAAACGTGTAATGTATAGACAAACATCGTGATTGTCAAACACGTTGTGTGATGAAATCGATCTGGGCCCATTACTGAAAAAAGTAACTTTGTTTAACTCCCTGTAGGTTTCTTTCTTATTAAGATTAGTGACAGACTTGAGCTCTTCTTGTCTTCTCCTAGGAAACAGACTGAAGGCGTTGCAGTCTTTTCGACAAGCTACTAATCACATATTTTTATTATTCTGAAGACAAAAGCAGAAACTGATTCAATTAAACAATGAAAAAAAGCTAGAGAAATCTATTGATCAAATTTTTCGAAAAAGTCCTTTGAAGTTCACTGAAATGAAGAGTTTAAACTGCGATAAAAAATTAGAGTATAGTGTTAACTCGTGATTAAATTTCTACGCAATAATTTCTTGTTGCAAGGTGAAACCGTCGGGTAGGTTAAACATAGTTTCAGCAAAGTGTTTTTGCTACGTCAACCTATTTCCGATGTAACATTCTGTCCAACATCAACTGCAAACACATCACTGACATCGTTAGTGATACCATCATTACCAGATGATTTCAAACTATCATTACCTGAAAAATTGTACTAAAGAATGACCGATCGATCATGTTCACAATAAACCTGAAGGCAAAATTTTCCGGATTTTGCCTGCTTCTACCTGCTTGTCTTTTTTTAAAAATTATGAAAGAGCTCTTGAAGGCCAATAGAAAAATTTTTATCTGTTTTCAAAAAGGCAAATATTCCCAATATTGCACAACGGCTGAAATGTAGAAAGACAAAAAACGATTCATATTGCCGTTTGGGTCAACTTGATTCTAATTATGGCGATCGCGTCTATTTAATTTCTGTGCCGCTTGGTTCCCTGGGTAGTGCACGCCCCACTTTACACCCCGTACCCCGCACCCTGCCCCTGCTACCCGCATCCCGTCCCCCGCCCTTACCAAGTGCGGCACCTCTCTCGCCCCGCTCCACCTCACGGTCGAGCGGATTATCCTTTAATTAACAATTATTCCACGAGCGCGCGTTGGATATGAGATGATAGATAGCCAACGAAGCGCGTAGCGCTGAGTTGGCTATAATCATCTCATATCCAACAAGAGCGAGTGGAATAATTGTTTTATTAAAAACGTTAAATTAAGTATAAAATTTTATTAAATTTTTAGCTCCCTTTTAATATTAAGCTGACACTTACGATGGCCATATTTGTAGATTATGGTATATTGGCTGATATACCATAAGGGCTAAGCCAATAAAAAGTCTTGAATTGCATTATCCAATGATCCAGTTTTTAATAAAAATCAATTATTCCAGTGTAATAATTTGTATCTCTTTATAATTTGATGATAATTTTAATCATCTCGAAAACGAAAACAAAAAAAAAAAACGTACATAGAGAAAAACGAGGCGAAAAACTATGATATGCTTGTCCTTAACCCTTTCGTCGCTTCTCTTAAAATGGTTAAATACGGCATTTGATTCAAACGTCGAATTTAACTCTGCCGAATTTAAAACTTCTCGCTGTCAATATTCCTAGATGCACTACTTGTTTGTTA